ATTATTCAACAATTATATGAATAAAAACATGGGGAAAAAAAAACAATGGGTAAACAAAATTGCACCATGATTTTCCTAAGTTCCACTTTATGCACTTCCACATTACCACTACTTCCATTTTATAAGTTTCACACTAACACTAAAATCATCATTCTCTATGAATTTAACATTTCAAATTTTCACGATTCTTGTATTATGATCAAGATAATAAAACATATCCTTTAGAATTTTTTGACTCGCCAATGAAAAATCACAAATGTTCTTAAGTCCTTTTTTTTTTCATGTGAATTATAAATTGATGTTTTCATCAGACAACCCCAAACAAAAAGTTGCCTTAAACATTACTTTCTTTCCATAAAAATTTAAAATGGAATATTCAAAACCGACTAAAAACCCTATTTAGCAAATAAAAGGTTCAACAATTCTATTATTATGGCTAGGACCAACAATTAAGAAAAAAAATCATACCATTTAAATTTTCTGGAAAACCAATGAAGAAGAAGTAATTGGCTATTCTTAAGTCCCTTTTTTCATATGAATTAAAAATACATATATCCATTCCTATCACAAACCACATGTAGAGCGTAGAAGGAACAAATAGAAAACCTAGTAAAAGGATATAAGTTAAAAATTTAGACCTAATTTCAATAATTATCAACATGATTTTCACAATATTTGTGCCCACCAATAAGACCACCATAGCACTAAACCCAATAGCACCTATTAATATTCATCAAAACATAAATAAAACATAATTGCTCCACTGAGTCAATTACTTAGTTCTATCCTTAAAACACTATTAATGCTATGCTTAAAGCATAAGCTTAAAAGTGGCCTCTGGATGATGTGTAACTAGTAAACTGAAAATTGTATAATATAAAACATGAGTGTGCAAGAAACAAACTCAATATGTGAAACCCCTCTAAGTATAAACGACAATGCACATGACATGGATAAGAGCAAACAAAATGACAAAAGTAAAAGTAAATATTATAATATAACAGTTATAAATATGTATAAAAGATCACATTTTCAAACTAAAAATAATTTAATAGTGCTCAACTTATAGTAAAGCTCATTAAGGATAATCTATATCAACCCATAAACATTATGTCTAAATACTAAACATCCACTTGCATGCATACTATATCTATGTTCCATATTAGCTATATAATTTTCTATTTATATATATGCCTTGAAACCAGAAAAGATAAACATCAATCTCATGAAAATTTAATGATTCTTAAGAGAGTCGTTACTGTATGAATCCAGCAATCTGACCAGCCAATGTCCAAATGAACTAAATATCGACAATATATACATCATATATATAGGAATGCATCATATGAGTTTTTATTACATCAAAATTTAATTTTAATATAAGTTATAATATGATCAAATTTGATAACAAATCAACTCAATCAAAATTTATATGATCAATATATATTTCTCAACAACCAAAATAATATATATGAACTTTTAAGAATTTGTGAATTAAATAACACAACAAAGCTAATTATCACATAATGTTCAAATGAACATATGCCCTAATAAGAGCATAACAAAAAGTAGCAAGGAATATGCCCCTAATAAAAAGAGGTATGTTTATCCCTTATTCCATAAAAAGTCTCTTATCTGACATAGATTAAAAATAGTCCAATGCATTAGCTATAAATCCATATGAATCTTCCTCTAAACTTATTGTTTCATTAATTAATCCTAAATTAGGCAAATTGATATTAAGTGCAAACTCAATACATGGAACATCAAATGCTTAAAAAATAATATATATTTGAGCATATCTGTAATCATTGATTTCCATAGAGTCCCTGTAATTTATACTTTGACAACCAATCCTTAAGATTATGAAATTATTTAATGATTTCAATGTTAATTCTCTTTCAAATTGTTTGATGAAATCTTTAGCACCATTTTAAAGGTTTGATTTTCATAAAATCATTAAATATAAATAAAGAATGTATAAGTTTATATTCATAAATTAATAAATCACAACAAATAAAATGGCTTCTATTATGTAATATAGAATGATATCTCTTGACCTAAACTGCCATTAATCACAACCTATACAATTAATTTAAATTTATGTAAAATCTTTACTTGTTCTCAATCTTTCCACTATATAGGAAATTCACTGAATCATCTTTAATACTTTCTAATTTATCTTTTGGACGACAAACTTAATAATCAATATTAACATATATGATTAAAAGCACGTATTATAAAGATGGCATCATAATATTGAATGCTCTGAATTCCTTATTTTATTCTAGTAATAGGTTTTGTTTATGCTCAAAGACCAATAAAAATCTTAGTAGATTAAACTTATAAATTATCTAGAACCGCATATAACACAAAAATATAATAAAATAGAATAAATTTTGGAGTAAGAGTTACCTTGTTGTTTAAAGGAAGAAGAAGATAATGATGATTGTGAAGTCCTCTCTAAAATAACCTAATCGATGCTATTTAAGTCATCAAGTCGGAAGTCTCCTTGCTTGTACTTGAAACCTTCGATTGGTTTCCACGCTCGCAAATATGCATTCTCCTCACGCATTTTCCTTTCTCCCTTCTATCAAGCTCTCTAGCTCGCTATCTCTTCTTCGATGCCTTGGTCGATCGCCCTCTTCTCCATCGCTCGTCCAGGCTTCTCTCGCCAACCATAAAAGTTCATTTGGGGTTTAATAAGATGGTGCAGGTTGGTCGATGCAAAGCATACAAGATATAATACTCACCCCAAAATTAACCTAAATCACAAATAATTTATCAACAATAAGTCTTATGCACAAGCATAAGTTCTAAAGCAGACATTTCACTACAACATCAATACTACTGATCGACAATATGCTTAAACATTACATAAGCTATTCAAGTGCAGGAATCCATTAACACCAAAATATCAAAAAGATCAACCAAATGAAGTTCAAAATTCACAGTGCATCGATGTCACATATCAAACAATACATTAAAAACATGTTGCAAGCACAAGTTGGGAATCATCAACTAGCAATCATGAAGTTAGTTGAAACTCACATCACACAATTGTTCATTCATATATCATTATTTATGGAATTGGGGTTCTACACAACCCTTGTATTCTCAAAGAAATAAGCACAAAATAGAAATATGAAAAAAAATCTCAATCAACAAACAATCATAGTAAATATCAAGCAATAAGAAGAAAACACAATCTTACCCAATAATCACTATTAAACTCAAGATCAATCAATGCAATTATCTCTATAATCATTTCTTGCACAATGGGAGCTTTTATTATAATTGATTTGTTCTTCCAGAGCTAACTTTCATTACAAATAATAATAATAATGATAATGATAATGATAATGATAATAATAATAATAATAATAATAATAATAATAATAATAATAATAAAGAGAAAAAATAGAGGAGGGTTAGAAGAGGGCCGGGAACAAAAGATGTGATACTAACTAATCATATGAAAATTATGAAAGGCAAAGGCGTGATAGTGCATACTTCGTCTAGGACAATATGGTTATGCTAAATTATGTTATCAAAATGTCAATTATCTCATTGGAATTGCCAGAAAAAGTAATAAGTAATTAAATTGGGTGTTCATTGAGATTGAGATAGTTCATGTTGAGATTAAGGGAGAACCTCTAAGAAGAGCATCCTAAGAATGAGAATGAATCTCCTGAGAATGAGAACCTCCCAAAAGTCTTGAATTCCATCCATGATAATGTGCCATATGTAGGGTTGAAAATAAAAAGTTTGAAGTTCCAAAAATCGAAGAGTACAAAAATGCCTGTGTTCCTACTTGAAAGGCCATGGGGGTCAAAGGTCTCAACGCAAAGAGAAAACATGATTTCTTTAACTTCAAAGTAGCTATTAACGAGTTTCAACAAATCAGACAATTGATTGTGGTGGCTTCATTCCAATGGCGCAGAAAAAAGGATCTTTTCAGAGCCCTTTAGTGCACAACACCTAGAAAGCAATGGTTTTCAAGTTTTAAGCCTCTAACACCACATCTTAGAAATGAGTTGGGAGTTGCCTCAACGGTTCACTTGTCATTGTCTAATTTTCAGTTAAAACTAAAAAATATTAAGGGACTTTTTGCCCTAAGAAATTACCTCATAATATGTTATTTGAAATTGGAGAAGGTGGGATGTTCAAGGAAATCAATCGCAAAAAATGCCAAAATTTTGTCTCCTTTAAAGTAGTGAAGTGGAGAGGACATTTCATTGCATCATTAACTGATAGAAGTGATAACATTGACTCAGGACATGTAACACAATCAGTAGGGACTAACTTTTACGCCCAAGAATGAGCATAGGCATTTTAAATTTTGGAGGTCATTGCTACCCAACAAACTTTTGGCATGTTTTGCATCAGTCGCTCACCTTTATTTTAATCGCAGATCATTTAAGAAAATATAGTTAATGAAAATAGGTATGGTTCTCCATAAGGTGTGACTGTTCAGCTAATCTAATCGGATCACATGCTTAGAAAATATGAGCTGCGCCCCATACCATCTGGTCAACAGCCAAATCAATTAAACTAATAATATCAAAGGCATGGATTTAGATCCTCTGATATCTGATTATCATAGTAATGTGCAATTATCCAGCCTAAGTATGGATATTGGATGAGGAGGATTGATTTCAAATAACTTTATGAAAATATGTAAAATGATTTAGATAAAATGTTGGCCTTCAAACCATATTACATGACTAGAAAAAATAATCATAGCAATCTGAAATTGAATGACCATAACAAATAATCACGATACTTGGAAGAAACAATTCAAATACAAAAAGCACAAGCATGCCCTTATCATAAACCACCCCTCATGAAAGGAAGCACAATCTGAAGCTTTGACAAACTCATTTTTTCTATGAATTGATGAAGAGAGAGCGCCATTGCCTTCAGCTATAGCCCATAAGAAAGCATCAAACAAATATGTGACCAATTAAAATCCAAAAATTGAAGTAATTTAGCCTATAAGATGGGAATGTCAACCAAGTGGCAATTGTATCTTTAACTTGAACCATTCATGCAATACACTACTTGTGATCATTCATAGTCTCATTTCCGATACAACACACAAGGCACAAGAGTGAGATCCAACAACAACAAGCCTTTATCCCACTAAGGAGCCGGGTACATGAATCCTTTTTCTCCATTGTTTCCTATTGAGTGCATATTTTCACGAGAGTGAGATTGAGCCAGAAAAATCGGAGCTCTCCCAAACCTCAACCCCTTCCACTCCAGTCCTGCACACAAATAGCCGATCCCCACCAACTTCTATCCCACGAATCAAGCCCCTTTTGGCATCATCTTCCTTGTCCACAAAATTCCTCCTCCAAATCTTCTTCCTTTCAGCTCTACCTTCCCTCTCTTCCCCATCTTCCTCCACACGCGACCAAACTTCAAGACCACTCTCTCTACTCACAAACACCTGCCCATTGTAACAATTGACGATGCTGTTTGCCCCTCCACCGGCGATCCTCAATGCAGCGCTGCGCTCTTCCAGGTATAACCATGGATCCTCGCTAAGCTTCCTAATGTCCGCAACAGCTAGATCGCCTGACTTCCAACACACCTTGTAGATTGACATCTCCTTCCTGTCCACATCTACGTCGGAGAATGCGTCGCCGAACCTACCGCTCCGCGCTCCACTCCCTGGTTCGCTAGTTTCCCATACGGCTTTTCCCGTCCTAGGATCCCAAAGCCTCATGTAGCCCGAGTACCCAAACGCCCCCGAACTCACCGCAGAGGCAAACACCACCCCGCCTCCGACCTCCGTTAGATCCACAAGCTTTCCCGGAGACGACGTCTTTGACCCGCTTCCCGACAGCCGTCCAATTTCAGACACGATTTGTAAAGTGGATCGATCCACCGAAAGGATACAGTTCTCACGGTGAGGGCATTCGAAAGCCGCAAAGACAGGTCGCCTGCTGTTGCACCCGGGTTCAGTGGCTGGCAATGCGGGGACCCCCGCCCTTGTGGCTGCAATTGCGGTGACCCGAGCCTTATAGACGCGAGGATCTGATGGATCAGACCAGTTGACCGACGCAATCTGGCGACCGCTGGACACGTCGTACAAGTGCAGTCCTGGCGTCTCCAAAGAGCCGATCGCCGCGATATCCGGCCAGACGCATCGGAGGGATGCAATATCCTCCAGATGTGTGCGGACAGTTCCTGAATGGATTAGATTGGAGTCGTAGGAAGAGATCTGGCCGCCATGAGCTATCCAGATGGATCCGTCATCAAAGCCCGCATAAAGAGCCGTGGGATGGGCTTCGGCGGCTGGAATGAGGGTGGTCAAGAGGGTGGCGTTGATTCCGAGAAGAGGAGGTGGCGAGAGAGCCAGTCGAAGGCGCCCCTCGATGCCGTAGTAGAGAGCTTCGTCGGCAAGGTCCTGCTTGGAGAAGCGGCGGAGAGCGGCAGATGGAAGGCGACCGGAGCGAAGAAGAGAAAGAAGAGCCGAAAAGATCTCTGGATCACGATCGATGAAGATAGGCTCGTGCTCGTCGCTCTCGGTGGTGTGACGGGCTGAAAGTGCTGCGAGGAGAGAATCATGGCCACCAACCTGGAGAGTAGATGCTGTAGTCTCGAATTGCTTGCCGCCAACGTTGAGCTTGATCCGGTGGCTTTCCGTTGGTTGCAGAACTGGTTCGAGTATGCCGCCGCTGCTATCTGCCATGGCTCATGATTTGTAGATTATCGACCAAACGAAGAAGGACAATCGATGCAGTCGCGGACTGTGGGTTGTTCCTGAACGGTCGCACTGGAAATTTCTACGACCAGAAGCAGCCCAATAAATCTATAAAATTAGCCACATGAGGCTGGCGGTCCACAGGCAGGATTTAGTTACTGTTTTTAGGGCAGCTTAAAAGTGTGGAAGACATTTTGAAAATGCCGCTGTCTCGTTTGGTTAATACTTATTATCAAATTATACAAAACTTAATTTTTAATTTTGTGTAAGACGCGAACCGTGTCCCTTGCGAAATGACTTTTACATATCCACCCTGACCCTCATTCGTTCCCGTGACCTTCATTCGCTCCCGTGACCCTAATTCGCTTCCGTGACCCTAATTCGCTTCCGTGACCCTGCCCTCGAACGCCTTCAGCGGAAAATCCTTCGCAATACTCGTGCCCTAAGAGCTCCTCTCCTACGAATTTGGTTCATTTTCCCTCTAGTTCTTCGGCATTTGACTCCTTCGCCATATTCTTCTTCGGCTTTTCGCTCTACAGGTATATCTTCCATCGAATGTCTCGTCTTCCATGTTCGTCGTTTGCAGTCGTTCGGGTTTGATATGTTTATTTGGATTTTTTTGCTGTGGAAAGCGGTTTCATCTTCCTTCCGTGAAAATCTTTTGCAGTTGTATGACATTTTATTTAGAGGATTTTTTTGTCATTTCGGGTGAGATATTTGATGTATCTGATGATGGATCTGAACACCTGAGGTGTAAAATTAGTGGATTCAACTAATTGCTTCTAGAAATTGGGTGGTTTTGCTCATTTTGCGGTATTATTGTGGCCATGAAAATGTTTAGGATGTCACATAAAAATTTGTTTTACAAAACTTATAATAGTTCTATAAAAAGTGCAATTTACATTATTCTTCCTTCATACCAACTGCTAGCTGAGCAGGGCTTGGGCATTGCATTGCTTACAAACATATGTATCAATTTTACATATTGCATGGAGGAAGCTTTTGTGATCTTTTATTTTACTGTTAACCATTGTATGTCATCTTGGGATGGGGATGATCTACTCCAGGATGATTACTCATTTTTATCATTTAAAAAAAATGCCAAATACTCATATACAGAATTTAATTTTGAATGGGCACAACTACAAGCATATTGGATAGGTGTAAAACTTAAGTTACCTTGCCTAGATGATGAACTCAAAGCCATGGATACATGGCAAGAATGAGATATGCGGAGAACATTTTCCGCTTATATTCTTTCATTTGATCCTTCAACGAGCACATAAATGAATCACTGGAAAGAAAGGAAAAAAAAATATCAGTTGTTTAGTATGCATGCGGGAAAAGTTTTCTTTTTTGTAAACTGTAACAATTTCGTTCAATTTGTAAATGGTTTTACATGCAAATTGTTTCATTATTATTTGTCAATTGCTCTGGATTTTGTAGTAGCAATATTTTTTGCTATGAAAAGAAATAGTTTGTGCTTATCCATTAATCTGACAACTCAATGAATAAAGCTAAAGAGGCTAGATCATCTCGTCTATGTAGGATAGAGATGTAACTATTATATTTTGTAATCTATGCATGAGGAAGATTGAGGTGGAAAATTGACCCACTACTTATTTTAACAAAGAAGAGTGTCAAAATCTTATGATTAAATTCATGGAAGTGAGCGAAAGAGATTATGATTGCATGAAATTGAAGAACAAGTGAGATCAATTAACGAAAAATTAGAAACTATGGAAAGAACTGAAAAGAGGATCAACTGGAATGGGTTGGGATCGAGTTAAGCGCACAATAGATGCACCAGAGGATTGGTGGGCTAGAAATTACAGGTACACAAATATCTAATATTTCTTTATCTTGAATAAAATTTCGCATTGAGTTGAAACGATTTTATTAATGCAAATTCGTTATCTATATCAGACAGTGCCGTCAGCCAAAAAAATTAAATTCATTGGCATTGATCCAATGTTGGAGGAGAAACTGGATGACATGTTCACTAAAGTTGTCGCAACATGAACTCATGCGTTCATCCCAAATGATTTAGGGTTTGGCAGTTCAGCGCAGGAGATGGAGATCGTGCATATATGTGATTTAAGAGAATTTCCTAGCTATGTCCACACAGATGTTCAATCCACTAGTGTGCCTAAGCGTCCCAGAGCAAAAAAAAAAGAACAAAGGGGTAGCTTTCATCAAAGGCACCATTAATACACTGGTTGAAACATGCAAAACAATGTTGTCTTCCTCGCAGGACAGCTCAATTGAGGAGTCTCTTTAAGTCGCCAATATATATTCTGACGTTAAGGCAGACGATGACGACTATATACGATACGTGAAGGTGTTACGAGACCCAATCATAAGACAATTTTTATGAAGTTGGAATCGAAATACCGAGTCAAATACATTCCTGATTTTGAAAGATATCTAAAGCACTATCCAGATACAAAGTACCATATTCCTGATTTTGAAAAATCTAATGGTGTAGCACGATGCAAGAAAGATTTATTTAACAAAAGACACACTTCATTGCGCGGCGTAATCGAAAGAGCGTTCGGAGTGTGGAAGAAGAAGTGGGTTATATTACGGGATATGCCGGCTTACCCTTTTCTAAAGCAAATACAAATAGTTGTTGGCACAATGACACTACACAATTTCATCCTAAGCCGCCACCACTCCAGATCGAATGTGGAGTTCGTCATTCTAGAAGATGATTCAGTGCAGATCTCACATGAAGCATTCAAATACCATGTGAGACTTACAATACCACACAAAGAAATGGATTCACATGATGCATGCACTCGAGAGGGTGAAGGTGCATTAGAGATGACGACGTTACGAGAACAAATAGCAGATGACATTAGTCATTCGTGATTGAAGTTGTCATTTGTTATCTATGGAACATTATGTATTACCTACAGTTATAAGTTCAGTTCGCTTGTTTTGTGGTTGTTGGAATTTTTTTTGCAGTTTTCAAGTTATTGTATATCACCCTCAAAACATCATTATTAGTTCCATTACATGGTTGTTATTTCGTTTCTGATGTTGTTTATCTCATGAGTTGGAATTTTCCATAAATCCTACATGAAAGCTCCATCGAAAAAATTAAGGCTAATGTTCAGTTTGATAAATTCAGAATTTTTAAGTGTTATGTCTGACCTTGCATTATATGCATAGTAACTGAATGACAAGCTATTGTTTCATGTGTTGGAGTTATTTTCCTCAGCTGTTGAATTATAAGTATGTTCACATTGATGTTTGTTGGGCTCTCTCTTAGCTGTCTGATGGCTCAAATGACAAAGTCCTTTAAATATTAGGCATTTAAAACCTATCTTCATTAACTTGAAGTTCTTTTGGTTGCATACACCATTTATGTGTAGCAATTATCTTGGAAAGTTATTGTATTGGAATCATAGCAGCTTGGATGAATATATAACTACCGCAAGGTAAGAATTTATGATGATGAATTTATAGTATTTCCAAATGAAATATTATCTGAAGGTTCTATTTCAAAACTGAAAGTTAGTTTTTTTTATTTCTTACATGGGCAAAATTTCTAGCAGCTTGGATGGCTCAATTCTTTGAGGGTAACTGCTGCTATATATCTGGAATCCATTGTTTGACTTCAAAGTATCATATATATTTCTTTTTAATGAAAATGAAAGGTATCTTGGAGCTACTCATATCCTTATGTTTTAAGGAACTTACAATCATTCCATTTATCTGAAGAATGCATAGTTGTTGTTATATGAGATATGAGTTCTAGAAAAATTTACATGCATACCACACAGTTGTTATGTGTTTACATATGTGTCCGAGTGTTGTGTTTAAGAAAGCTTAATGGTCGGTTTGAAGCACCATCAATTTTTGCCAGATATTCTGCATTCGCCCTTGCACTTTGATTGGTTTAGATATTGCTGGAATTATTTTCCTTCTTTGTTGAGTTGAAAGTGTCCAGTACAAAACTGGGAATTCAATTTTATTCAAAAATGTACATTTGCAGTTTTTTTTTCTGCATAAGGATTGTTATGTGAGCTGAAAGGAGCTGCAGTTTTTTCCCTATCATATCCAGATTACAATGAGCACATCTTTTGGGTCATTATATTCTTGTTATGCAGTTCTTTCTTAGCCTTATGCATCATTTAACTTTTTCAAGTTATCAGGATTGCGATGCTCAGTCAAGGTTCATAATCCTTGGAGCACTTTGCTAATTTAACAAATGTAGATCCCGCCCCAAACGTTTGCATTATCTTCGACCACAAGCATCACATGATACATTATCTATTTTTAAAGTAACTATATATGGTTGCCATAGTAACTGCTATTTGGTTATCGAAATTGAATGGATAGTGCCTCTATTTGAAGCAGCTTGGATGACCCTTCTTTCAGGGCAATCATTGTCTTCTGTATTTCGTTCAAGTATGAAAAATAATTTGTTGGGAGTTATGGGTTTATTTATGGGTTATGTTGGGAAAAGAATTTATTGGTAACAGAATTTGTTGGATGCATGGTGCATCTCTTTGAAGCAGCTTGGATGACCACATGCGGTTATGTTTCATGTGGGTTATGTTGGAAATTTTGTTGCTTATATGAGGGGATTATTGGAATCTTTATGCTTATATGACACTTTTTATTACATTGCTTACCTGCTTCGACATACTTGTTTATTTCGACATTACCTGGAGTAGCTTGGATGGCCATCACCTATTGATTCACATTGCTTAAGCATACTTGTTCATGTATGTTTTACATTGCTTCGGTTAAATGTATGGAATATGTAATTCAATGTTATTACTGCTTGGATGACCCTTCTTTTAGGGTAACCGCTATTCCAACAACAATATTTCATATGAATTATTCGGCCCTTAAAAGAAGCCTACAAAATGAGCTTACATGTTGCATTGAATTTATAGTATATTTATCTTGTTTTTATACTTTTTATGTTTATTAATTTTATTGAGATAACTGTGGAGCAGCTTGGATGGCCAAAGAACTTTGTTGCCGACAACCATTGCTTCCACACTTTGGTAAGTTGAGTTTCTTTATTTCTTTTAGGTTTTAACTAATCTACTCTTTTTTTAATAATTGTAGGACGATGAGCTCCAAGTATTCAGGGAAGTCTAGGAAATTGATGGGCCGATGCGGGCTACCATCCTTGTTACTCACGTCACAACAGACACATAGCTACGAGCGACAATTCTACAGGTGCCCGCGCTAGGGACAAAAACCAGAAGACTGCAACTTCTTCAGGTGGGCCGACAGTACAACTGTTTCTACGATATCTCAATTGGACACCGTTGCTCGACGTTCGACAGTATCACAACGGGAGAACACCACATGTAGTTCTAGTACTTCTATTTCTATGATATCTCAGTCGGACATGTTTGCTCGGGGTTCTAAGGTATCAGAACCGAGCAACATTCGTCGTGATATACTTTTATATTTTAAAGTCAATATCGTCATTTTTTTCCTTGTAATTTTAATATGTTATTTTTTTTGTCTTATTATAATTCATATTAGTATGTGAATGTGTACTTCACTTTCATATATGTTACTGTGCTTATTTGATGTAATCAAAACTTTTTGAGTTATATAAATGTAATTCAACTCTTTTGCATTTTTATGTCTTGACATTTGAGAAAATAACAAATTCTGCATGACAGATTATTCATTCAACTAAAAAAATCTGCAAATAAGCTGTTTATTAAACACACAAACCAAACAGCTTATCCAGAATAGAGACATAATGGTAATTTATCCAGAATCAGCGGTTTTCCAAACGCACAAACCAAACAGTCAGCCAACTTATCCGAATCAGCTGCTCATCAACAGATTATCAGGAAAAGCTGTTTATCAGTAGAACCTAAATAAAATGCAACTGCCCCAAACAGGCCCTTAGGTTTAAATACGATTTAATAAATTCAATAAATCTGAATTAGCAAATTCAATTGTTGTTAAATTCAGACTCATATTTTGTTCAGTTGAGGGTTAAAGTCAATTAAGGGTCTGTTTGGGGTAACTACAACTTATCCAGCTTATTCTGATAACCTGGTGACAAACAGCTGATCTGAACAACATGTCTGTCTATTTGGTTTGTGCGTTTAGAGAACAACTAATTCTGGAAAAATGACCAATCTGTCTCTATTCTGGATAAGTTGTTTAGTTGTTTGATTTGTGCGTTTTGTAAACAACTTATTTGCATATTTTCTTACAAATTTACCAAACTTCATTAATACAATCATAAAAGGGAGAAATGTGAAGATTGTAGAACATAAAAACATAAAATATTTTTAAAATAAAAGATTAAATGTTAAGACATGAAAATACAAAATATTTATATCACTTAAAACTTTCAGATCATATCAGAGAAACACAGTTAGAAACACAGTTATCAGAGAAACACAGTTACCTAAACAAAAGTGAAATACAACTTAACACACTAATATGTAATATAATGATATAAAAAAAAAGATAACATGTTAAAATTACAAGGAAAATAATTATAATGTTAACTTCTGAATATCTTCTAAAAAACTCATAAAACCATCAACGGTGGGATCATCCACCATAGGTTCAATTGATATCGAAGCTTCAAATACAATTATCAATCTATCAATTGAGCTATACACGAAAACATCTTTATTTTTTCCTTTTTTTTCCATCTTACGCCTCTTTGATTGGTCAGTTGACTCAAGCTCCCTAGGGTTTATGTTAGAGCCTTCACCTGAACCGATAACCTGATCGGGAATCACCTCAGCTGAGATGCCAAAAAAACCCTACTCACTTGGGTTGAACGTATGCTGACCCGTAGCAACAACCCCCTTGAACATAACATCCAATTTGTCTTCCACTTCCGGCTTAATTCCGGACAACTTAAATTTCTTTGCATTAGGTATTGCCTGCAACAAGAAGGGAGGGGATGGGAGCATATTTGGTGAAATATAAGTATAAATGTAAATTAACTAAAGAGTTCTCAGGAGTATTTTTGATGTTTGATGTATTATAAGCATGGCTATGGGAACCTCTCTTCAGGCAATGGGTGCAGTGTCATCCATCAAAATTTAGAAAAATTTACATATATGCTATACAATTATTATGTATGTATTACATACGAGAGATTTGATGTTTGACAACTGCATCATAGATGGTTGAGATCCTTTCTTTATACAATAGTTTTTTTAAAAAAAATTACATACATACCACAAGTGTTATAGATGGTCGGGGGATACTCTCTTTCAAGCAATGGATGCACAGTTGTTATGTATTAACATATCTATTTTTCTATCATTATTATTGATAACATTTTTTCTATCAGTAGTCTTGATGAGGTTCTGTTTCAAGTAGCTTTCTGACTGCTTTGCAAAAAATACGCATTTAGCCTCCAGTTTTGTAAATTACTCTAGTTTAGCCTCTAAAAGCAATGCCTCCAATTTTGACCCAATATTTTCCTTCCATACCTCATAATGATCAAAGAATAACACTACAGGAAGTCCACAACACCTCCAAATAATAGTATCAACGCAAAGAAGCATAAGTATTATACAATACAAGTACCAAACATATGATCCATAACCAAAAATAACATCAGATCCATAACCAGAAACATCAGATCAATAAATAATAGTCTGTTTGATAAAAAAAAATTTCCAAACCATCGTGCTACTTCAGCGAGGAAGATGAAGGAAACCATATCCATTTGCAAAGAAGTGCAGAATGGCGTAATATATAAATCAGGACAAAGAAACAACCGAGGAAGATGAAGGAAATCAGGACTCGATTAGCATTCTGAGAAAATACCCGTGGACATCGAAAAAGAAAAGGAAGGAGATACGATGGATAAGAACATACCTTCAGGGACTTCTATAAGGGTTCTACGAAGGGGAGATACGAACGAGAGCTGCTTGCGGGGAGAGGAGCGACGAGGGGCACGAGACCTGCTTGCGAAATTAGGGCAGAGGAGTGACGAGACCAGTAGCAACTAGAGTCTTTCTGAACAATGAAACACAGATTACGGGTAGGACCCCGCGATCCGCGTGTAATAATAAATTGAAAACTCCATTTTGTAAAACGCATATGGCAAGTGTTTTCCAAAAGCGAGGTAGCGTTTTCAAAACGCCACCGCAGCAAAAACGCCCTCCCAAATGCACCCTAAATCTGTTTCAAGTTTTCTTTCTTAACTAAATTCATTAAATTCATCTTATAGTCAAATTTAGTTGAGTTTTTTTTGGATAATTTTATGATATTTTGGGTTTCATACCATCACAATAACTCTGTTTAGGGAGATGCTTCTAGAACTTTCTATGATGAGAAGGTACTTATTTAAACATGACATGTTAAAATGTGATGACCCTAGGAAATCTGATTTTTTGAAAAAAAATATATATTTATAATTAATATCATCTTTTTCTATTAATTTGTTTTCTTCATCATAATTTTACAATCACATTTTTAAAAATTGTAGCCTCCCATAACATACCTTAAAAAGAAATGGAGCAAAGAGAAAATTGGATTTAACGAAGTGCCAATTTAACTACCGTATTTTCATATTTGGTTGGACTAACTTTAATTATAGACGTAAATCCTATTAGAAGTTGCTACCAAACTCCCAAATAGTTTGATAGAATTTTGTGAAGTTTGCCATGTTCGTGGAGGTGTTGTTCGGTTCAGAACTAAGACGACGCCATATATTCAATCGACATAATTGAATGGAGTTCTTATTGCATACGGAGCCGTGGGTATGACTTTCAATTATTTCACGTAATTAATATCAATTTTAAAATTTATAAATATTTAAAATTGAGCCCAATGTCATACACTTTTTGGGATGAGGATGATTTTAATTGGACGACTATACAAAACTCTTGCAAACGGTCTCCGTACTCTTAATTCTGATTCAAAGAGTTAGTCAGACCACTATGCTTATGCACAATTGACATAATCAATTTGACCAAAAAATTTGGGCCAGGGGACTACCTAGTAATTCACCAATACTATTAGGTAGCAGCAGTCAACTGAGATGGCATGATCAGTTCATCAAAGAGAAACCTGATGATATAAGAGTAACAAACTCAATACTAAACTAAAATTTGATCAAGAGACCTCAACTGCTCTCCGAGGCATTGATTGGACAAACACAAGTTTTCAAGGATGATTTGTAAGAGGATGAGTAATCATGAAAAATAATTATTAATGTCAGCGGTTATATATGAATATAATAGAACTCCACACTAGAAGAAAACAATTAAGATAAAATGGCTACTCTTTCAGGAAATAAAGCCAGGTTGAGGACTGGTTCAACAGCCGCATCCGAATATGAGAGCTCGTCAACCGGATTTCTGGAGGACTCGCACAGCTTGGTTTAAGGCATAAATATACTCAAGAAATAACTAAAATATTAAAGGCACATGAATACATTCCTTTAGGCTGAACACAAATATAAAATTTGATTTCTTTTATAGCATTTAAACAAAAAAATTGAACGATGACAACGAACACAAATAAAATAGAAGGGAAAAAAAAAAACGATGCAAAGGAACCATTCAATCATGCAAACGAAGTAGAAGAATAGGCGTAGTGGTCAGATATAGTAGCAGCGAGGAGCATCAGAAGCCGCGCTAGCAGATGTCTTCCTTGAGGTTCCTGGGCCTCACGTGCACGCGCAATCCGTTCTTCATGAAGAGTGTCAGCGACATTTTCTGCTGCACACGATGCCCAGCCACCGGCTCAAGGCGATGGCGCAGCAGCACCGCAGACGCGATCGTCTTCATCTGGAGATAAGCCAAGTCCTTCCCCAAACACGTCCTCGGACCAGCGTTGAAAGCTACAAATCGGTACTTGTCCATACTCGGCTCAAACTGAAAGCTGTGGCCGCCATCAGACCTCGTCAGCCAACGTTCGGGCTTGAACTCCAAGCAATCCTTCCCCCATATCGACTCCATCCTCCCGGCCGAATAGATTGAGTAGGTAATGGTTGACCCCGCTTTCACCGCCGTTCCATCTGGCAGCACGTCGTCAGCCACCACGTATTTGGAGTCCTCCGGCACCGATGGGTAAAGCCTCAGAGTCTCCGCCAGCGCCGCCTTCAGATAAACCAGCCGCTCAAGCTCATCAAATTCAAGAGGATTCTCCACCCAACTGCTTGCATCCGGCCCCCGCGTCTCCCTCAGCACTGACGCCATCTCCGCCAGAACCTTCCTCTCGATATCCCGCCTCTGCATTAGCGTCCAGAAGAACCAGCTGAGGGCGACCGAGGAGGTGTCTCTCCCGGCCAGCACAAAATTAAGGGCGATCCACTGCAAGACGGAGGCTGGAAACGCGTTGCCATTTCCATCCCGCTTCTTCATGAAGCGCGAGAGCAGGTCATCGGATGGGTTATTCGTTCGTACATTAATCGCTTCCGTCATGTATCGGTCGACAACTTTAAGGCTTCGGCGGAGGCTGCGCTCGCTACCGAGCCCCAGCGCCTTCTTGATACGCCAGAACACGCCAGGGAAGAGGAGGCGCTGGAGCGTTGCTTCGGTGGCTGTATCGAATGCGCGAGCGAAAGGGTTGTCGGGAAGGTCAGGAGAGAGCGTCTCCGGATCCTTTCCGAAGGTGAGTCCGCATATGTTGTCAAAAGTGAGGCGAAGGAGGAGGTCTAGAAGGTCGACGGAAGATGAAGAGTTGGAGTGGTCAGCGAGGATGCGCCACAGGCGGGTCTTGATGGACCGGTTGGCCCAACGTGCCATGGCCTGGCGTAGAGTGCGGGTGGTGAACTCGAGGGCAGCTGTCTTGCGCTGGAGAAGCCAGGTGTCACCGTCGGAGTTAAAGATGCCAAGGCCCAGAAGATCGTGGAAGGCTGACTGCCAAATCGGACCCTTTGGGTAGTTGTCGAAGCGGGTGCGGAGAACGTGCTCTATATTGCGCGGATTGGCGGTGACGGTTACAAGTCCCTGGCGAACGAAGGGCAGTGGCAGCACGCTGGTTTGGTAGGTGGCGGCAGAGCCGGTGGATCGAAGGTTGTCGGCGATCCAATCGTGGATGCGGCTACGGGTGGGGCTGCGGTTGGCGATTAGGCCAGGCAAGCTGCCCACGAGTGGCCACACTTTGGGGCCCGTTAGTTTGCGGCTCATCAGCCAAAACCATGCCAGGTATGTAAACACCAGCACAAACAAGAGCGCAGTTGCTGCCGCTATTTCCGTTTCCATTCTATTTTTCTTCTCAACGATCTACAGCTGAAGGGGAGGAGTTTCGAGCTTTGCTGCTGCCTGATATTTTGTGCATGGATTCGAAACGTATTTATAGTGCAGGGAGGGGTTCAAACTTGCGATCGAGTCGTCGAGTGAGGGAATTGGTGGCAGTTAGGGAGGGATTAACCAAACTGAAAAGTTTAATAGCTGGATAATCGCTTCATACGCACAAGAATGCAATGAATTCTAACCGGGGTTTTGTTTTAGGAGAACCTCCATCTACTGTTCTTTCAAAACAAATATACATATCCTTTTTTTTTTAGATACTCCTAACTAAATCGCTGCAAGAGATTATCGAAAAAATAAAAGTAAAAACTAATTTATAGAGATTGAGCTCACCGCATTACATGTTTTTATTAAAAGTAGCGCAATATAATTCATTTCGAGTACAGCTGTAAAAATATTAATCTGCACGTACATTGAGAGTGCGAGGGAAAAAAACTGCATAAAAGAAACTATTAAATCTAATTTAAGTTTATTGCTTCAACATGTAGGGAGTCATAAGAAACTCCATCAAAAAAATAAAATAAAAATAAAAATAATATATATATATATTTATATATTTATTATGGCCGAATAATAATTATCCAAATTTGAAGTCACTTTGTTTGCAGTGGTCGGCGGAGCAGAGCCGTTAGAGTGATAATTTTAGTTATCTAGAATGATCGGTAAAAGATGATGGAATGGCCCGTAAACAAACCTTTCTTCCGAGTTGGAGAAATTGTTGTTGTAAACAGCCATTAATTCCTGCATTGGTCGCCAGCCGTTCACCTGCAGGAGAAAATAGTCAAGTTTGCCCTTTTTTTTAATCTAACAGCACTGCATTCTTAATTGATTAAAATATTAAATAATAAGGGTAAATCTGGGAGCAGAGCATATTTAATCAGCGTTCGTTCAAATTTATATCATAACAATTTTCGCTTTTCTGATAAAGAAAAAAAAAACAAAAATACTTAAAATGGGGGCATTATAAATATAACTATTAATGAAATTTCAATTGTTTTTTTTTCCTAATGCTTTCTAATTGCTACCAGTTCAAAAAAATGCAAATATCTTAAATTTCTATCTTTCAATAAAGCGGTTATAATTTTCTGAATTCTTATGATTTATCAATAATTTTTGTGCAATGGTGGACAAAACTTCACAAGCTACAATGAACGGTTGTAGATTGCTGCCAACTTTATCATGATTTTATGTGACCCAATTTATCCGTGAGTCATGCCCATGCCCAAATCTTATTCATCAAAGGAAATGAGAAAAGCGAGGAAAAAAGATGAGATAAATAAAGCAAATCTATTAAAATCAAGCTTAGGATACTATAATGACGGTATCAAGAGTGGAGAAACTGTAAAAAAAGATCAAATCGTTAACTTTCCCTAAGATCCTATATGTATGGTTAGAGACATGAGAGCTCAAGCATTTTAAGCAAAGTTATAAAATAAATCATACATGCATAAAAAGTAAAAAAACACAAAACTTGTAGATTTAGGGTCTGTTTAGGGTAGCTGCAGCTGTTTGAAGAAGCAACTGTGAAGCTGCTGAAGATGAAACTATTGTTCAAAAAGTTGTGAAAGCCATTACAACATTTTTTTTTTGTGAAAAAGTCAAATCGCAGTTTTCTGGCATCCAACGTAGATAGTCATGACTGGTAAGAAAACATAACTTTTAGCTACAACTTTTTGAGAACACAGAAAAAATATTATTTTGTCAAACAGAAAAAACTGCGGTGCAGTACTAAACCGTCACCACATCGCCACTCCAAACGCAACCTTAATATAGACGCAAACTAGATAACCGACTTTTGGAAAAGTCGTGAGGCCTCTTAATAGGCCACATTATGTCTCTAGTCACAAACAAATTGTTTTTCCTTGAGTGGAGATGATATTATCCCTGAGCCTTAGTCAAAGCTTTTATATGATAAGCAAGCAAGTTCGCCATGCTATTAACAAGTAGACGCCTTGAACCAAGATGGTGTGTTTGTTACCTCGAGCCTTGACAACACATCGTAAGAGGCCCCGAATTAGGATACATAGAGGAAAATCAATTTGGAGACTATTAGTGAAATCAACAAAGAAGACATCATAATAGAAAAGCAACCTGGAAGAACCCTCCAACTCAACACTACCTTTGATGCTAAAATGCCTGATGTAAGCACCAATATAGCCCGTCATCTACATAATGCCAACCCCCGAGCTTGTGTGATTAAACATAAAGTGACACCACTCGCAACCAAAATTGTTGAACTTATTTGCCAAGAAGTAGGGAAAATTCTTGATACCAAATTCATCCAACAGGTCCAATATCTAGGTTGATTGCTAACATGATAATGATACTAAAATCCAATGACAAGTGAAGCGTGTATATAGACTTCACTAACATTAATTCATCATGTTCGAAAGACAGCTATCCATTGCCTATAACAGACACCTTAGTTGACTCTACAATCGACTACTCTATTACAAGCTTCCTATATACTTTCTCTAGCTACCACCAAATTAAAATGAACCCTAAAGATTCAAAAATATTGCATTTATCACAAGAGGCAAAATTTATTAATATAATGTAATGACTTTTGAGCTTAAGAATGCAAGAGTAACATGACAAAGAATTATTAATGTAATCTTCTTGAAACAAAAAGAAAGGACTGTTGAAATTTATGTTGGTGATCTTCTAACTAAAAGTAAATTATAAGCAACCTAAAAGAAACATTTAAAACGCTAAAAAAGTTTAACATGAAACACAATTCATTCATAGATAACTTTGGAGCTAGGTATGGTAAGTTTCTTGGCTACCTGCTTACTCTAGAATGTATCAAAATGAACTCGAATAAGATTAAAGCTATCTTGAAAATTTCGACTCCCAATGAAATCAAGGATCTTCATAAGCATGAGTCGAATTTCCAACTTAAGTCGCTTTATGTCAAAGTTAGGACATAAAGGTTCGACTTTCTTCAAAGTTCTGAGGAGCGCAAAATGCTTTGCCTAGTCCGATGACTGCGAGAAGACCTTTATCCAACTAAAAAATTTCCAAACATCCCCTCCTTTTTTACAAGGCCCAAAGCCAAGTAAAAGTTGAAACTTGATAAAAGATTACACGTCACTTTCTGAATCCTTGTCAATTCTCTTGATTCAATTTGTCCTTCTCTGGGAAGGCTCTGATTGGGTCTCTATGTTCAGTGCTCTCAAGGTTCAATTTGCATCAGAACCAACCTATTGACTAGTTTGATGATAATGAGAAGGCATATATGTTAGGGTGAGATCCATGTAGACATTATTACCTCTTAACCAATTTAGTGAGTGGAAGAGAATCTCACAAAGAAAATCTAAGACATTGTGGAGTGCTTGCTCCAAGCATTTCATTTTTTTCCTCTCTTGATCGATAGTCAATTGCATCATGTTCGATAATCAATTGCATCATCGAGAAAATTTGTGTAGTCGTCTTGCACCCTCATCTTTCAACTCATTTTGCAATGATGTTTCCTTTCTAACAAAAAATACTACAAAGACTTTAATTGTAGAAGCGAACCGACGAGTTACCCAACTGTCAAATTCCTTTTCACTTTGATTTGTAAGGGAACCTCCTCTTGTTTATAACATGCTAAACTTGGATTTATCTAAGGGCAATTCAAGCACTGTCCACTATGTCCATTGCTTTTAAGTTCGTGATTCCTCTATTGGAAATCAATCAGTAATGTTGTTACATATTTACTTTTCATTGCTATGTTAGAGGAGTCCTTTTAGGGTGGTTCTTAAGCTTCCAACGAGAGGCATCGCTTCTTATACTGGCTTCAAGAACAACTAATCACTTATTTCTTAAGCATGCAGAAGTTGTTACGAAATTAAAACATTAAACAAAGGCAAACCAAGATAATATGCCTTGATACTTTTGTTTATCTTTTATAGGGGCAATAAACCTCAAAGATTTAGAGCAATATTAAGCAAGATGTGCTCACTAAGGGCCTCGAAGAAGTCAAATTCCCCTACGCATTAGACATTGAAGCCGGCCAAAACTTTGATTGAGTTGCATAAACTTATCTATAATTAAATTAATGCCAAGGAATATGATCAACTAGCCTTAGCTCAAGAGACTTCAACCAAAATGGCAGGGGAGCGCTGCAAATATCTTTGGCATGCCCGACATAAGTCAAATCACCGCCATAGTAATACGTTTATTGAAAAGTCACATTTCTGCATCCAAGAGGCTTGAAAGGGAATAGACATCGTATGATCTGCCCAAAAAAGATAAGATGTCACACCTTGGGTCTAGATGGTAGTATACCTCGACAACTCATGACATGATGAAGGGATTTCCCTCAAATTTTACAACAAGTCTCAAAGTCAATATCATTTTAAACAATTCTTATATTCATAATAAATGCTATGCTGACCTCATTTTTGAGGTCATTTCTTTTTTCTTAGGGTCTTAGGATCTAGCTCTAGGAGTTCCTATTGACCATCTTAGAAAATTAGAATTGAGACCCACCCTTTTAGAAGTTCTAACCACTTCCTATTTTTCTTTGATGTCTAACATTTATGGTACAAGACCATCTTCTTATGAACGAGTGGTTATGGGTTATTTTGTGAAGACTCAAGGGAAAAGTTCCTAATAGGACTCCAAGCCTTAAGAAAACATCGTCACGACTTTTTCGTCACGTACACACACCAAATGCACAAAATTCACAAAATTGCACGAAATCAGACTTCAATTAAGCCCAGAGGACGGGTGAAAATACAAACTTCTCCGGATGACCTCCGACAACGACATGGACTGCGCCAATGCGTCTGGGACACCAATTTTGGTAGGAAAAGACACCCATATTGCCATATTTTTTACACGAGAAAATTGGCACGCATATCGATGAATTCGTCAAAACGACTTCCTGTGTCAACGCGTTCGAAACTTCAAAATTACCTAAAAATGATACCAATTTTGTTATGTTTTGACGCACGGTTGAAAAGTACGAATTGAATTTTATTTTTAAGAAATATTAAACTATTTTATATCTTTATCACCTTAGTATTATTAAAACCCTAAATTCTATTTCGCCGCACGCGCCTCCCGTCGCATCTCTCGAACGCGTCTACTGGTTCGATCGCAAGCCCTAACAGGTGCAACCCGTGGCTCGCCCCTCTCTTTCCCGAAGCTTGATTCATCGTCTCCTCTGTCATTCGCGCATGAGGTGGCTCGCCTTCCTCTTCCCTCACACGCGGTCCATTCGCCCACGCCACCCCCCCCGACTCCGCTCGC